AGTGGCCAAACCACTCTGGTGGCCGGTGGTTTGAGGCTTGCCGTGGCATGCATACTTAAATGCCACCCGGGATGCTTCTTAACGATGTTTGCCATCAAATGCGCTTCTTGGACGGGCATCAATCAGGGAACTTCGCAAAGGAGCCCCTGTACATCAACTGGGTGTGATGCATACCGGAGCGTTTCTGAAGCCAACACACTTTTGGAGAGGACCGCGTTTCCCACAAGATCTTCCAATGGATAGCCACTGACCACTCTTATTGATATACAGGGGATCTGTATATACATGTATATTCTTATATACCTGCTTCTGTTAGCCAGGACGCTACTGCTACTGCTGCTGGTAACATCGCTTGGAGGAACTTGGGGGCTCGAGCAGCCCAATTCGAGCTGCCTAAGCTTCTTTCCGACATTTCGCGATGTCATGACAACCATGTTTGAAGCATTTGGAGGGAGCGTGGACTCTAAGCTCAAGAAGACTGCATCTGTTGTTTCGTTTATGGCCACTAGCGCACCTCTAACAAGGTGTCCATTTAACAAGGTGTCCTTGTAGTGATATAGGGTGCCAATTGCCAATTTCAATTGTTTGGAGCATTGACTGCTGCCCCCTCCTTTGACTAGGTGACCCGCGCGAGTTGGTGGATGGCTCATTTCAAAGGACCGACGCCAAAGAGGCACTTCATCTACTCGAACAGTCCACGGGTAACCGCTTTAGACCGTGGAGTGCTCACTGGATGGAGAAAGCGGGACAAGGAGCTCAAGGTAAAAACGGCTGTTCAGTACAAGGATCGATCGGGGCGAACTCGTTACAAGGGTACTCCAGCATTGCGCAAAACAGAGAATCTTGACAGCGTTGGGGTCAACTTGGACTAATACTCTTTAATTGAACTGGGTTTGGCGCTAATTCCACGCAATGATCTTTTTGAGAGAGAGATATATATCAAATGTTTGGTTGAGGCGTTTGTTGGATACTAGGATTGCGGCGTTGAGGTTACAAGCTCAATAACATGTGATATATATATATATAGGATTGTGGAGGCGGCGTTGGTCCAAGTCAGTTTGTTGGGCATTTTCCCCATATGGCTCTCTACGGGATCATCCAGTCAATTCATGACACTTGAGCACTAAACATTCTTAAATATTGGACAGTTCAACCGTTCTTTTGTGGTTGGGCATGCAGCTGAGGGAATATCCAATCCAATTTGGTCGTGAGATAGCTGACCTGTTCGACAGCCTCACGACTACCGCCAGAGGGCTACCTCCACTTCCCAATGACCTCCCAGCAGCTGTGGTCTCGTATGAGGCCTTGAGCGATCAATTCGGCATGGGCTATGCGGCCCTCCAGCAGGTCTTCGATTACCTGCGGCGTGGGAAGCATTTGAAAATCCCAGCGGAGTGGGCCAGTGTCATCCCTCGACCCTCGTAGGTGGCTTGGTTGTTGAGACCGTTTCAAGCTCTTACCAGATCTGGCAAGCATGTCGCCGGAAATCATGAACTAGACCTTTAAAAAAGCTTACGTGCTTCCATGGAAGGGGCTCCACAACAGACATCGGCAGAGTTTTCTTGATCTGTACCAATTTTTCGAACACAATTTGTTGAATATATGCCACCGGAATCACCCAAAAAGCGTGTCTGAGCTTGAACCCGTAGATACCCATAGAGAACCCGTAGATACCCGTAGTTTGGGCCCAAGAACCCGTTTCTTTCGGAAAACCCGTTTTTCCTAACCCGTAGGGAACCCGTAAAAAACCCGTCGGAACCCGTAGGGAACCCATAAAAATTTATGGGTTCTGAGGGATGACTTTTAATTGACTTTTGGTGAGTTTTTGAACTCCCAAGACTGCTGCACGACGCTCTCGAATCATGCTTGGAACGTTCCATGGGATGACGGCTTTCCTCGAGCTTGAAAATGATCAATACGTCCGTCAAACTTGCAGGTTTCAACGCCATGTTCCTTCATGTCTGCATCTTTGAAACACTGCCGACTTGATTTGGAGATCGTGGATCACAGGTGTGCTTTAGGTCGACTGGTCTGGACCTACTTAGGAGCAGAAATGAGTAGAATGTCTGATGCGACCTCATCTCGTGTGTGGTCTTGCGCCACTCTTCGGGAGGGTTTGGAGCATGTTGTACGTGCTGCTGATGAAACCGGTGTCGACGAAGAAGATGAGCTAGAGAAGTACATCCAGGAGCTGCTAGGTCTCCAAGCGTTGAACAGTTCCAGCATGATATTAACTTTATAGTACTGCATTATATGCACACAGCCAATGGGCGGAAATTGGGAACGGTGTTATGCTGTGAAATCATTTAGCACGGTGATTTTTTTGTGAGATGATGAAGAGTGAGGTGATGCTGACTGATGTGGTGAAATGTTGAGTATATACCTTTTGCATCGTGTTGAATGTTCAATAGGTGAGCCAAGTTGCTCTGATGTTGTGTGGCCATTGTTTCCCTGTCCCGCAGCTCTCCGACAACCATCCAGTACCTGTTGCTTGTCCACCCTATTGGCCTTTGCGTAGTCATCTCTCATATAGACACACACGTGCAAGTAACACTTCGATATATCTTGGAGCTGTCTCTTTGAGGATTCAAACCTTTGAATGTTATAGCAGTTATAGCTTATTATAAGTCTTGTATACATTATATCCGCATGAAGCCTGCCCAAACTCTTCGTTCCATTCAGCAACCAAGTTTACGATCAATTTTATTTGTTGCTTCACATGGATGGTCACTGCTTTGGTTTTTCTCAGGCAGTTGAATGTTGTGATGGTTTTAGCTTCACGCAGGAATTGGGAAGCAAGATTGAACAAACACCTGCTGAGGCCTGATATCACTTTCCTAGTCCGGATGTCTCGGCCAGCGTGACTGCGCCTTGCAGGTTCCGGTTCCTCCTGCTGAAGAAGGCCACGCAGAGCCTGATGAGCCGACGCAGGAGGCTAGAAGGATTTAAACATGCATGGAACTTGGTGTGCATGAGTTGCTTTAAAAGTCCTGTCAGTATTTTGTTTATATAGTCTGGAGCCCGTGCCTGGAAGGCATCGGCAGAAGCTCTTCTACAAGCTGGCATGAAGCTTTCGCCAGAACAACACCAGGTCAGTCTTCAAAAGACATGAGATTAGTGAGAGTTCGTGTATATATATATATCTATATATGTATAAATTTCTTGTATATCCCCAACCGTTCCAGGAACCTGCGCATCGACCTGTTCCTACACCAGCACGTGGAGACGCATCAGATGTGAAGACTGGTTCTGAGGAGTAGTGCTTTAGTTTCTTGCTGCTTTAACCTGTATGCTGCTATGTGGCAACCTGAACCAAAAAGAATGCAACCTCCACGAGGGATGTCCAAAAGAAAAGGACTGACTCCGTTACTCCAGGAGCTGCTTGCTGCGCCTGCAGAGCCAGCCCGGACGATGGGACCAAAGTTGAAGAGCAAATCCCGACAGGTGCCCTGCGGCGGTGGAGTTTTTCTCTTTCGATCTGATGGGAGTCTGTATCGGTATATAATATATATAGGTATATAGAGTTGGAGTTGAAGTGCTTCAGCTATATATATGCTTTGCATGAGCCTTGAACTACGTGCAGGAACTTCTCCGTGAAGCCGCAAAAGCGCGGATCCGACGTATGGTCAAAGACCACAAAAGCAAAACGGGGCTCAATGTCCCGGAGTGGGTCAAGAATGCTTGGCACACACGAAACAAGGATGAATTGGCCAGGATCCTCTTGGACCATAATGGGGACAAGGAGCGCAGTCTTTGCTGTTTTTTGATTATCAATTGCATGGCATTGGCTCTACCCCAACTAACCATATATCGATATACTGATATACTGATCTTATATATATATATAAAGGCCATCCATCAGTCCAGCAAAAACTGCAACAACCTCAACGGCCTCCGGGTTCTCGTGAGAAAAATATGGACCCCTGGAACTATATATATAATGAATCATGACCTTTTGGGTGGGGTTGGCCAAAAAAACAAACCGATCAAGCCCACCTCTTCACAGTGTATCTTGACTCATGTTCCAGCCACTCCTTGTGCCTGATCCACCACCGGCGCAGGAAGATCTTGTCGCTAAATGAATCACCACTCCTGCACGTCTGCAGGAAGCTTTCATGGCGACGCTGGAAGTGATAATCAAAAGGAAGACCAGCTACACCATTCTGGTGGAGGAGGAATGGGTAAGCGAGAAAGAGATGAAGGATGAACTCAAGTGGTCCCCGTCCCTGGACAGAACAAGTAAAGTCTGTTAAGTTACAACACTATATATATTGCAAAAGTATGTAACAAAGGCCTCATGGACTTGAGTCTGTATAATATTATATATATGAGCTTGTTCTGGCCTCTTCTGTTTTCTTGCGTGGCCAAGGGCAAGGATCCAAGGAGCGATCAAAGAGTGCATGTCGAAGCGGGAGACTCATGTCAGGCTGGGTCTTGTTGGCAAACAAGTCCTTCTCTCTCTCTCTCTCTATACTTTTGCTTTGCTAGTGTGGTGCGCGATGACTTACTGCTCTAAGTTTGCCAGTCATACAAATTTGCAGGAAGAATATTTATGACGGTGAGCTCGAGTACCTGGTGTTAAAGAAAGAGCGATCCACCAGGGAAGACCAACGGAGCCAGGAAGAGATTGAGAAAAGCATCAAGAAGGCCACACATGTTCACCATATATATATATATATATACACCCTTTGTCTCACACTGCATGCAGCGACATGTGTGGTGTGTTCATGTGTTTCGTATCATGGCCTTGTGCAGGTGGACAAGGGACCTCAGCTCAAGGATGATGCCTTCGCCCGCCTTGACATCCTAGACGCCAGGGGAGCCGCAAAGAAGACATCCACTACCCACGAAGCCCCGACTCAGCATGATGAGGCTTCCGTTTATATTTTTTGTCTAATCTCAAAGCGCACACATGAACATTTCTAGGGTGTGCGGTGTGCATGGCAATTCGTAGGAAGTTTGCATGACCTGGCCAGACCAAGCTCGCCTTCCAAAAGTTCATGGCCTCTCTTCTGAGCAAGACAGGCAAGTTGCGGTCTCTCATACGTGACTTGAAGACAAACTATTCCAAGTCCGAAAACTTCTCTGCGTGGCTTGTCTCCATGATCTTTAGTGGCCAAACATGTGACATCAATTTGCTTGAGCTCTTATTTTATATATAGGTCCAATCACTCTTGGCCTGTATGGACATATACCTGTGTGAGATGTCCTCAAGTGACTGCCCGAGGAACATCAAGTCACTGCAGGAGGGGATTAAATCAATGGATGCGGAATATGATAAATGCCATGATGTCTGGGCCAAAGGTGAGCTCAAAAGCTTCGATGATGAGTTGCTTTACCATAAATATATGTGTGTGTGTGTTCGTCTTGCAAAGGAATTGGGCTCATGATCGTTAATGTGAGCATTTGGCTTACATAAACGCTTGGCTGCTCAAGGTTTCTCAAGAAGGCCAATGAGCAGATGAAGAATGCAACCTTCGTGTCTGAACTTCAGATTCTTTCCAATTATTTGAGCCACTTTATTGAATCAAAGATCGAACAACCGCACGACGATCTGCATAGCCTGTCCTTGCGGAGGTGCAGCAGAGTCATGGCAGCCGAGATGAAGATCAAGTCCGAACCTCATGCAATGCTTCGGAAATCCATTGAAACCGCGTGAGCAATACATGATCCATGAGATCAAACAACCTATCAGCTTGTAAGGGTGTATGACAACATGCCTGTAATGGCTGTAGCCCCTCCAGCAAGGAATGAGAAGAAGTACGAGAAGAAGTCCAAAAATGAGTCGGCGGAGGAGGAACCAGCTCGTGGCTCTAAGACTAGCAGGTCCAAGGAGTCCAAGGGTAAAGCCGCAGATCAGTCGGCTCCAAAGCAAGCCCGTACAGCAAAGTGATCGCTTTGATGCAATCATTTGGGCATGCACACCAATTTGTTTTGAGAGGTTACCACGGGAAACCCTGTGAACTTGTGAGAGGTGCAGGCTAGAACCTGTGGTTGATTGAGTTTGGGTCCAGACCTGCCGCTGTGATATAGTTCTTGTCATTCTAGAAACACCAAGTCAACCTGTTCTCGCTTAAATTCTGGTGGTGTGTTGGGTCTGGAAATGCGATGGGGTTGACAAGCAGCACAGTCTTGTCATATGGCAATCGTTCGGGACCATGTAAAAGTATTTCCGAGCTTGGAGAGTTCAGAGTTCACCCAAGAATCTCAGTCACGTTCGTGCAGTGATGATCTTGTGCATTGACAGGTTTCCCTTTTCAGTCTTTATTCGCCCTCTGTGACGCCAGGCGCAGGGCATGCAATCCGCGCCATCTCGAAAGATATTGGAGAGGGGGCCGCGACCTCATTGAGCAGTTGCAAGATCAGCGAACCAAGGCTTTGTCTTGCAGTGTTTCAACTCGAGTATTATACAATATGATTGCATGCGTCAGCTACACAGCCTCATTTCTGGTGATATATAAAGCTGCAATGGCAAGGATGTGTGCAAAAGATTCGTTCCTCAAAAGAACAACCGTGCCTTGTGCCCAAATCCACAACATCGATCAGAATTCAAATAAGACAGCCCATTCTTTTTGCAAAAGAACACGCGTGCTTTCACTGGCACAGAATGGATACTAGAAACCGCCATGGTTTCGATGAGTCACCTGAAGAGGAACTCATGGACCTTTTGGGGTGCCACCGTTCAGAGCCTCATCTCAGCAGTAGTAGAAACATCGGAATGCGTTCTCTTCAACTGCGCATGTCTTTCCTTTATGGGCTGAACGCAAATGCCCGATCCCACGGTCAACTCAGGAATCTGAGTGCCCATACGCGTGGCGACGAATTTCCCTTCCGTGCCCGCCCTGGTCGACGGATGAAAAGAAAACACAAGGCAGTGGCCTAGCCAACTGTCAAGGTCCCATGATTGAGGTTGAGCTCGGCCACATGACCTTGTATCCAAACGGACCCAAGTGGAGCCAGTGTTTGTCAGCTGACTTGATTGCCCGCCTGAAGATCATACTTCAGGAGTCCCAGTCCATCGGACCTATCTCCTTCAGGCTGCCTAAGATACATGCTACTGCTGGTGGTGTTCTTCGCCACTCCACGTCTGTTGTACATGGTCTGATTGACAAGTATGAACCACTGATATTTAAAGTTGGCTTTACACACAACCCAGTGTGGCGGTGGTCAAGCAAGTTGTATGGATATTCGTGGGCCAAAGACAAATGGTCCAATATGGTGGTTTTGTATATCTCTGATGAACCTTTCGGCCCAGCAATGCTGGAAGCAGCCTTGATCGACAAGTTTGGTAGCAACTCTGCTGAACACTAATACTCCAGAATGCTGTATATATAGAAGTTAACGCTTCATCTGCATGTGTATATAGGGAATGGGATTTTCTAACTGGCCATGTCTTGAGCCTCTGAGGGATAAAGAACTTGTCGGCGCACGGGCTGAGGTATTCAGGGCTGCCGAAACGTGAAAGCTGGTGGTGACAATGTGAGGGCATCTTGTGAAAGCGGGGCTTTCATGTGCTATATAGTGTATAGATCCTTTGCGGTCAAGCCACCGTGTTGAGTGCCACAATGTGCCACAAGTTTCAAATGCATGATCTGTCAAGCTGTGGTGTGGGAAACCTACGCGTCAAGGTGTTCATATCCCGATGCCTGTGGATAATTAGTCTATACTTCGGAAGTGCGGTGGATGGAAAAATGATCTGTAAGACTCTATGCATCTCTATGCACTTGTACCTCGAGTGTTGTTTATATGGAAGCCTTGTGCAAGATATGCGAGCAAATGACAGCGTGCCTAAAGTTGAGAACACAACGACAGAGCTTGGACTAGCACATATATATATATATATATGGACATGTGCACTGTGCAGTGCTTGTGGTCTTGTTTTGTGTGTGTGTGCAGACTTACTGTGCCTCCCAACCGTCTGCTCAGGTCACAAGCTACCGTGCCAGCATCAGAACGGCCAAGGGCGTCGTTGACGATATTGGCAGCTCTTGTGCTGCCAAATCACCAGGGTTGGGAGAGTTAGCTCGAGTGCCTTTGAACAAGTCGGAGAGAGATGGGTTTTCCATCATGACAAACTATGATCTTTGTCTCCCTGTCAAAGTCACCACTTTGGCAAAGGCTTCAGGAGTTTCATACCCGGGCGGAATAGATGTTCTTCGGTTGACAGATTGGTTGGACTTCATTGTTGAGTATGGTTGTTTCCATGTTCTCTGTGGACTTCAGAGAGCAGACATTGGCCGTTGTGACGACATCCTCAATGAGTTTTGGAAAAGGTATAAGCGACAGTTTCCTGACCATGATCTGTTCAAGATTGCAGAGCGTCACGCTATACCACTTCACCGTATAGCCCCCTTGTACCTACACGGTGACGAGGGCCGGGGCAAGAAACGATTGCCGATTTTGGTGCTGAGTTGGCACTCGTGCCTGGGAGGTGGAACACAGTCCGCCAACAGAGAGAGGAAGAAACGAGAAAGAATCTGCATGCGTCTTAACTTCACTGGAAGTTGCTACACACACCGCCTTTTGGCAGCGGTTCTTCCACGGATGACCAAGGAAGATGCAGCCTTTCAATCAATATTGGAAACATTGGCTGACGACGCCAGCCAAGTTCTTCTGAAAGGGGCCACTGACTCAGCAGGCAGAACTTTCTACGCAGCATGCTTGGGAGTTACAGGAGATTGGATGTTTCTGGCCAAAGCAGGCAACCTGGCACGCACATACGGGCACTGCATAAAGAGACCACTCCGCCCAACCACAAAGCAGGTTGGGATTTGTCACTTGTGCCTTGCGGGCACCCGAGAGATTCCCTTCGAGATGCTTCAGACGTATGAAAGGCCTGGCTCTAGACCTCCATGGTGGAATTCAAGAGGCGCGAATGGTGCCTTTGACTTCCCAATTTCTCCACTAAATCGCATCCCATGCGTGCCCAATTTCCCGGAGATGTTGTACGTCTATGACCTATTCCATTGTTACCACCTTGGTATGGGTCGGTACTTCTTGGGTAGCGTGTTGGCGCTGATGTCAGAGAGATGTTCTTCCACCAAAGCTGCTGACCGTTTCGACGAACTCACTCAGCTCTACCTCTCCTGGTGTGAAGAAGAACATCGCTCACCCTATTTGCAATCGATCACCCAGGCAAAGATAAACTGGCTAGACACCAAGAACTTCCCAGTTGGCCTGTGGACAAAGGGACACGTAACACTCAGTTTGAATGACTTTGTGTCAGCTTGGGGGCAGCAACAGGACTTTGCAAACGATGACATCTTGAAGCTGTGTGTTGAGGCTAACTGCTGCATACGCAGTGCCATCCAACGCATCTTTGCACGGGATACATGGCTCAGCAAGAATGACGCTCTTTACATTGCCCACGAGGGCCTTCAGTTTTTGAGCAAGTATGGTCAGCTGGCTCTGCGAGCTTTTCGAGACAACAGAGCATTGTTCAGCCACGCTCCGAAGGAGCACCCACTTGAACATATCTTTTATGAGCTGAAGCACCAGGGAGAAAGGCTTGATTATGTACTGTCGCCAGGTGTGACAAGTGTGCAGCCTGACGAGGACTTCGTAGGAAAGGTGTCCCGAACATCCAGGAGGACAAATGCAGAGCAAGCAGTCAGAAGGACCGTGCAGCGGACTTTGATGGCGGCGAACCATCATTGGACTCAGGTCGGCTACATTTCGAGGTAAAAGAAACGGCCTTAATGTCTGTGGGTATGCGGGCGCGCGGCGCTTTGCGTTGTGTTGTTGCAGTTGTATAGACATTATGATGCATATGTGGGATGTTGCAAAACCACCAAAATCAAGAAACCGTTTTTCCTTCCAAGAACTCGTTTATTTTTCAGAACTGTTAAATTTTAAGGTTCCTGGGTCCGCTGGTAGGCAATTGTCTGCAATCCTCGTAATTCGGCAATTCGAGTGTGGAACCAATTGATCCAAGTTCGACGCCAGCCTGTCAATTTGTTAGGATTTCGGATACCACTGAATTTGACCTGCTTGTCCGACCAAAGTAGTGAAATCATGTAGTTGATCACAAAAAATCAATTTTTTGGCAGGTAAGGTTTGGCAACAATTTTTCGGAAACACCAAAGCCCTTTGGGTTAGAAAAGAATGGTCTAGGGTTAGAACAACAGGTTGCTGGGTTCGAGAAAAACAACTTTCATGGTGAAACAAACAGGTTCCAAGTGTAAAGAAACAGGTCCGTGTTAGAAGGAAAAGGTTTCAGTTTCAGTGCTTAAAAAAGGGGTTCCCCCTTTCCATCTGAGTGAGTGTTTGGGTACTTCTGGACTTCTTAGTGTGCGGTGATCTTATCCAAGATTATATACCCTACGCTTCCAACAACCATTGATTTCGTTGTCTTTACCGAATAACACTTGCTTTCAACCTTTCCCTTAAAGGTCTTGGAAGGCTAGGGTATAAGTAATAAGTGGTTGAGATCCAAAGTACTTTGGAGATTTCAAAATGCGTAGAGGGGAGGGGTGTATATTCTTTAGGGTGGTGTTCAGGGAGATTGTGTGTGATCTCATGACCCAGCTTGCGTTAATATGCAGTAGGCTGCCAGCATCAAGCAGGCACACCAACACCGAGGGGCACCCGACAGAGTTGGCACTAAGGTACCGGGACTATCGAGGCGTCGGGGTGCCTAGACCATCCGGGGAGCAGCTGACCTTCACCCTGCCTGCAAAGGAAGTGGCGTGGTACCGGTTGTTTGGAGGGGTTTGAGGTGGACCAGGTTTTGAGATCAGTCCATGAATAGGCATATTGGAATCTCATTTGGGCTCGATGTCCCAAATAGATCCTGTCATTTTTCAAAACAAGTACATGCAGTGAGGACATGAGCTTCGAGCAACTGGTCAAAACTGGAGATGACGGATATGATGATCCGCTAAGAGGCCAAATCATGGCCGGGGACCTTTTTTTCCTGGTGTCCTGATCATGAGTACGCTATGAGGACTGGTAGCAGGAACAGTGAATGAATGCTCATTCCCCCAACAATCCATGGGACCCTCCAAAGCATCACCAGACCACCCCATGTCTAGGCCAATCTCTGCACGGCTTGTGGATCCTCCTTTGGAGGATGGACACGAGGTCTAGTAACTTGCACAGATACTCTTGCCAACCTTCCAGCAGAGGTGGGTCAGGACCCGAACGTTCGCCTATCCCAGTTGGGTACCCCAGGTTACGGTGCTATGGTCCCGGTCACGGAACTTGCTACCTCTCTTGATTGGGACTGAGCCAGGTCAGGTTTCCCTAACCTTTCAGGTCCAGTGCCCTGGTGACCGGGTGAAGGTCCAAGCATTCTGGCGGCCTGACCCTTGACTCCCTTGACCACTCCGGGTCTCCCAGACCATCCATGGTGTATTCGTGTACCCAGGTCCGCGCACTCAGGATCCGAATCCTGGGTCACACCCGAATCCGGAGGGCTACGGACCTGGTGTTGAGGGGCCAGTCGGGCTGTGCACGGAGCGTTTGGGTAGCAGGTCAAACACATGGATTTTTATGGATTGTTCTGAAATCATGCCAGTTCCCCCAGAGGTGGTGTCTATGCCCTGATCACTTGGGATCGCTTGGCGCCTCGGTTGTGCTCGCCTTCAGGATCGCCGCGACAGTCGACGAGACAACCGCGACAGGAGCGCTGAGCGACCGGGTTCACGACAGGGTCGATGAGACCCAGACGCACGACGAAATCGGCCTACATGTCCCAGACGCTCCATGGGACTGGCATATTTACATACATTGGGGTGGTTGAAAGGGGGTCAATTGATCGGCAGTCCTGGCTGGCAGTCCAGACGTGTCGCGTCTGGGTGTGGCATGTGATGTTTGTTTTGCTGGTGAATGGATTGGTCCCATTTCACGCGAATGGATTGGATCGTTTGGGGGTTCACGAATGAGCAGGTCCAGACACTCTCCACCAGTCAGTCATACGGCGCCCATCCGTGAAGGCCCAAAAATCCGTGGTGAAGTAGGGAGACCACCCGTGGCGAAGGCCAGGTCACCAGCTGCGACTGAAAACGCCTGCATAATTCAGCCACCATAACTCCCTACAAATCCAAGTACCTTCTCAGAAAGCACCTGGACCCTCCAAACCCACCCCAAACACCTGAGAAGGTACTTGGATCTCTAGGGACTCAGAGACCTGTTTATCGTCCGGTCCTGGTTGAGTTCCGCTCCACTCGTGGAGTTCGAGGGTGGCTGAGAGTGACCAGAGTCTCAGCCCTGAGCTGAACTAAGATGGTGGCAAATGTGCAAGACTGGTGGCGTTTCTGGACAAATATGATGATAGAGCAAGACTCCTATAGTGATGACTGGAGCTACCCCCTGTTTGGTGTGCTCACAAAAGATGATCCGTGCGACCCGCGTTGGATTGGCCGGGTCGAGGATGCGTGCGACTCCCGGAAGCACCAACAACTTTAGCAATTGGTTCTTGCATGTCCCTCCAGCTTTCACATAGAAGTGGAGTTCACCCCCTGTTTGTGTAGAGGAACATGGTCTTTCCAAAGGCCATGCCATCCACTTCCAATGTCCACTTCCATCCCGGATGCACTTTCTTGCACGGCACCGCCATGAAACCACTGCAGTAACTACCACGAAACGGCCATTTGTGCAGTGAAAGGGAGCATTTGGGTGAGAACGCTTTTTATGACCAATGACTCTTTGAGAACTTCCACCTGCCCCAGACACTCCATGTATGCCATATATGCCTGCATTGGGGTGGGCCATGAGGGGTCTTTCTGGGGCGGCAGTCCGTCATGGCAGTCACATGTGTCGTGTCTGGGTGCTAGTCAGTGATGATCCACCTGCTTTCTCATGCGGCCCGCTGGGTGTGGGAGTGGTTTATGGACACTTCGAAAGAAGAGCACCTCTGTTCGGGGCGACCTGAGCACAAAGACCTGAGGACCGACATGAGCACGCAGGAGTGCGCGCCATGTCCTCCACCTCCTTGGGACTGACATGCATGAAAAGGGGGGTCAATGTATTCCAGACCATCCAATGGAACGTTCGAACATGAAAACAGCCAGGAGGCTGGTGGTCTTTTTCTTGGTCCTACACATCGTTAGGGATCCACATACCGAACCTCAGGTTCGGTACGACTGGGCCCGACACAGGCACCTACATAAACAGTCTCCAATCACCTAACCTGAGGTTCGGTACGACTGGATCCCGGATGGGCGTGGGTCATGTTTCAGCCAGACACAACCGATGGGACTGCCATGCCTACATTGACTCAAACCACCCCAATGTAGGCATACCAGCAGTCACAGAGCTCGGGGTGCCGAAGGAACGAAGGATAGGGGTGCCCAGCTACTCCACTCATAGGATGGGGCGAGCCACACCACCCCGAGCGACCTGTGACGCCTGGTATAATACCATACATGGCTCGTCTGGGACATGGGTGAAACACCTGGGTTTCCAGATGGCTTGTGACGCCGGACGCCCCTCCAGTCCTAGGAGGGGCGATGGGCGGCACTGGAAGGCAGGTGCCCATCAGGGCGGCCAAGGGCGGTGCCATGGGGCAAAGCGAAGAGGAGGTCCAAGACCGGCCTTTGGTGGTGTTTTTGGTCCCCTAAGAATCCGAGCTCGGGCTCTCCATGGGTCCGGGGTCGGACCCGACCTCTTGGCAGGGGTCCGGACCCGAACCAAACCCTATGTGTTGGTGAAGGAGCCCGGATTCTAAGGGTCATGGCAAAATGAACCACATGCACATGCTGAATCTCTGAAGGCCTTGAAAAACCCGCTGCCATCGCTGGGATGGCCTGGTTTGGGAGAAGACGATCGGGATCGGTTGGACGAGAGACCGGACCGGGACCGGGCGGGACGGTTTGGTGGAGCGTTTGGGTAACACAAAACACATCATCAGAGTCCTAAGGTCCTAATGCAACCCCTACAAGTCCAGTCTGAGCCGGTAAAAACGATAAAACTCCTGGTCTTTGACTTCCTGAAGTAGTGTTTTGGATGACCAACTCTAGGATTTCAGCTCATTGACGGGAACGAAGCTCGCCCTCCCTCTGAGAAGGTGAGCAGGGAGAGAGCCTGATTTGATGCACTAGCGAGGTCCAGGTCCAGGTCCGGTCCGACTGGACCTGAGTCGCCAGACGCGACACTCCATACACGGGACTGCCATAGGACTGCCGATCAGGCCAGACCCCCAAAACCAACCACCCGAACCAATGGGGCGGCATCTAGAGCAGTTTGATGGAGCGTTTGGGTAAGACTGCCATATCCCCAAAAATCCAAGTACCTGATGATTAACCCCCCAAATCCACCCCAATCAATGTAGGCATATATGTCAGACTACATGGAGTGTCTGGGTAAGACTGTAGCCCAGAAGATGTAAACCGCCCCATTGACCCCAGGTCAATCAACCACCCCAATGTATATATCCAAATATGCCAGTCCCATGCCAGTCGGTTTTTGAGGGTGTTCGGAACAGGATCGTCGAACCGGACTTCTTCTGGGACTGGCATATTGATCTACCAGCACCCGACTTCACAGGTCACCAATTGAGACCTTCAACAGGGCCTAACACCCAACCATCCATTTCGAAGACCTGTAGAGTCCAATACTGGTCCCGGTGTCTTTCCGGGGCAGCATCTCTTCCAGTCCCCGATTCGGTGCTTTGAGGACTGGCGGATTCGGACGGCCTAGGCTTTCGGATGGCCTAGGCTTTCTCGATGTCGGCGTAAGGAAGT